AATAGGGTTTGTTGGTTCCCTCCCTCTTCCCCACATTCAATATGCAGCATCAGGCATAAGAATCTAAATAAGTTAGTAGTGATCTTTGATGCCCAGCGTGGCACTTTGCAAAAGAGATGCCCGTCACTTCTGGAAACTTTAGTAGTGCAACTAGTTGGGGATGTCCAAAACCAAAGACATCAAAAACATTTTAATGCCTTATGTAAGTCTAGGACATGATCTTACATGTGTTTAAGATGTGCCTAACTTCAGGTATGTAAGTAATTCTGTTTACTTCAAAGCGATGACTCCATGTACTTAATTTGAAGTATGTCTATGAGAATTTGCCAAACTAAAACCAAGGGGCACTTTTACATGTACTCTGGGAGTGGGGAGGGAGGAGGGGAGTGGCGCTTTAATTAGAGCGTCTCCAAGAGCTGCTCTAATTAAAGTGCCACTGCATCTTCTATATCAGTGTCTCATATAGTGCTTAAGAATGGCAGTGGGGATGCTTGGACCAAAGGTTGTTCAATGAGCTTTACTTCAAGCACCCCTGCCACCATTTTGAAGTATGTGGACACTAATACATGAGATGCAGGAGGCTGCTGGAGTGCTGTAATTGCCACGCTCCAGCAGAATTAATTGAGTCTGCTCCGATGCACAGTAATTACAGCGCATTGGAGCAGCCTCCACACACCCGTACAGGCACCCAAAATCTGTAATTTCATATATAAACCTTTAAAAATGGTAATGTTGTATCCTTGAGCCCTTCACGAAAGCTCATTGGCCTGTAGTTTAAGAATGAGCGTTTAACCATAAGACACAGGCTATGATATACACAGTAAAAAATATTAACCTACAATGCAATGATTCTTGTAGTACTCATAGCAGTTACTTTTATAATGTCATTGCTAAAAAAGACAGGGCACTTTTACATGTGCCCCAGAGATGGGGGGAGGTGGTGCTTTAACTAATGCAGCTCAGAAAGCCGCTCTAATTAAAGCACTGCTGCGTCTCAGCGTCCCCATGCTTAAAAATGAGGGAAGGGGCGCTTGAACTAAAACTTGTTCAATGGGATTTAGTTCAAGCACCTCTGCTGCCACTTTTAAGCACAGTGATGCTTATACATGAGATGCAGGAGGCTGCTGGACCGGTAATTGCCATGCTCCAGCAGACTTGAGTAATTGAAGCTGCTCTGACGAACCAGAACTGCAGTGCGTTGGAGCAGCCTCCCTGCTTGTTCATAGGAACCCACAGAAACTTAGAAAATATCATTTTAACTCGATGTGTCTGTAAATGCTATCATTTCATTATAAAAGTTCTCCTCAAGTTCAGCTACAAATTACCAGGCTTGATAAAATTCTCTTGCTTTTGCCAAACCAGGATGGTCCTAACAGCCCTCTCTAGCTTTAAACTCAATACATCACAGCATTACTCTTTGTTTGCAATATAGCAATGCAGAAAATTCAGGGGTGGGGGTTGGAATTAAATATGTTCTTGAAAGAGAAAGACAACAAAATTTGGCAAATGTAAAGAAAAGCATTTCTTACCTAACCAAGATAGGTCTGACAAATGATTAGCCATGACTGTTGCAGACTAGCTATAGGCTGTTCTACTGTCCAGTAGTGTTTGTGGTATTAAAGTTAAGGGTGCAATGCTAGTAATGCTCATTATGGTTCTGCTCCAGGAAAGGTCTTAGAGTTAAGTAAGCACTTTCTTTGCCCTAAGGAGCCTGCTCAAATACTTAACATTAAACAGACATTTCCATGCTTTGCTGTGTCAAGTCATTGATGCTGCTGTATGTGGTATCAGCACCCTCAAATGTAAAACTTATAAAATCTCTAACTCATTTAAAAATCAGCTTATTTTGGCATTGCTTGCATGTCACAAATGTTCTCATTAGTACAAGGACTGGGCTGGACAACATGAATCCAACGTACGCTTACTGCTGTGTAACTTGATGTTGGGCCTTGGAGGTTTTAGGAGAGTCAAGCAAATACAGAAGTGCTCTAATCCCAATACTGACAACTTTCCACATGCAAAATTCCCACTTCAGTTGAAATTCGATCTTATTAAACCATTCAGTAACAGCCTAAATGAAGTTTAGTATGTAGACTTTTCCATAGTTTGAAGTCAGACTTGTGGAGAAGTGGCAACATCATTCATGTGGAAAAAAAGCAAAAATTGATGTTACACTAAAACAATTTTGTTGCAAATTCAATCTAGTTTTACCATCTAGGGCCTGCCCTGGCTTTTGATGGTAGTCCAAGAGATAACTGGCTATAGAATCATTTACTATGAACTCACTGGGCACATGCCCATGAGTGTGCTCAAAGCCTTCTTGAGGCGCTGCAAACCACATGCAGTGCATGGCACATACACTCAGTGTAACATGGCATGTGCACCCGGAGATCGCAGTGTAAAAAACCTGTTGCTAAAAGAAGTGTTGTGGTGTACATGGCAGCAGCATGTGACACCAGAGACTGGAGCCTGGCTAGCAATAGCTGTGCTCTGGCTGCTGACCAGGCTCTGAGAGGCCAGTTCAGTGCCACTGCTGCCCCCAGAGGACCCCAGGACCCCAGATAAGGCTGCTGGGCCCAGCCCAGGTGCTAACCCCAGCCTCCCCTACCACACCTGGGTCCCTTTGCCGTGCGCTGGAGCATGTGCAGGGGCGTGCCTAGAGACAAATAGCAGTGGGACAAATACATGCTGCTGCATTTGTCCCACAGGAAATGTGTGCCCCTGCACATGTGCACTCATGGGGATGCGCCCACTGAGCCTGGCACCCAGTAGCAATACGAGCAGCACTGCAGGAACTGAGCCAAATAGATTTAAGAGTTAACCTGAGGAAGTGTATGTTGGCACAGCTGGAAATCAAGTATTTAGGATTCCTGGTGGGCCAGGGTCAAATTAAGCCCCTAGCTGACAAGGTGGAGACAATAAGGAATTATGAGATTCCCTCAGGCAAATGCGTATGTTCTTAGGCCTGGCCAGTTATTACAGAAGGTTTCTCTCTCATTTTGCAGGACTTACAGTTTTTCTCACAAATGCTAGTAAGAGAGAGGGGAATGGTCTAATTAGGTGGGACGAGGGGCAACGGAGGGCCTTCAAGGAAGTTGAGAGCCCTGTGCCAGAATGTGATATTGCATACACTGAATTTTTCATTACCTTTTGTCCTGCAGAGGGATACGTCCGGACAAGCAGTAAAGGCAGTACTTTCCCAAAGGGTTGAGGGAAATGAAAGGTCGGTAGCTTACGCCAGTGAAAAGCTTAATGAACAAGAGAAAAGGTATGCTACAGTTGAAAGGGAATGCTTGGCCCTTACATGGAGGATAGAATATTGCCGGTACTATCTGTTAGGATGCAAGTTCACAGTAATAACCAATCACGCCCCTTTGAAATGGCTTAAAAGAGCCAAAACAGACAATGCATGTATAACAGGTCAGACGTGACCAAGGAGGCTGCGGTTAGGGTGGGCGGCCCAAGCTTTGGGGCATCTCCCCTTTTGCAGAGGAAAAGGATGCACAGGGATTGTACTCCAGGATTTTAACCCCTTGGAAAGAGCATCTGGGGCAGGGAAGGGCAGCAGCCAGCAGGTAAGTGTCCCACAGCGACGGGACAGAGATCAACGAAGAGCCAGTGGACCCACTGTTTGTCCCCAGGTGGCAAAGACCATTGTAGTGAATTGGACTGATGATAAACGGGCTCTACTAGTGAGTGACCACCCCAAAAGAGGGCTTAAGGAACATAGCAGCAGCTGCTGCCATCTTTTGTTATAGTTTTGGATTGAGTTATGTATTTTTGCTGCGATTAAAGAAATTTCCCTTTGGGGAAAGGACCGTCAAGTGGGCTGAACATGATTGGGCCACCTGGGATTGTAGGAGAAGGGAAGGGCCGGGCCAGAAAGTGGCCTCGTCACAGGCTGCCACCAAAGACTGCTATTTTGATCCATACCAACAGGTCAACACTGGTAAGCCATAGGTACTGATCGTCTTTCTAAGGCTGGAAGTGTTTTGGTGGGGTAAAAGGGAGGTTATGGAGCCCCACGAAGAAGTCAGGGTATTGGGTCGGGAAGGTCACCTGTGAGGGAACTGGCTCCCAGTATTATAACATCAAAGTTGTAGCAGGAGAGAAGAAAAAGCTACCAGGATACCTGGGTGACATATTCTAGGTCCCACCATACTGCTGCCAGTAGGCTGAGGGTCAGTCAGAAAGGGCCTTAAGTCTTATAATACTTACCAGTGGTCAACACAGGAACAGTTGCAGCAAGAGAAGTTTAGGCTAGATATTAGGAAGAACTATCTCACGAGGAGCATGGTAAAGCACTGGAAGAGGTTTCACAGGGAGGTGGTGGAATCTCTATCCATGGAGGTTTTTAAGACCCAGCTAGACAATACCTTGGGTAGGATGATATAGTTGGGGCTGGTCCTGCTTTGAGCAGGGGGTTGTACTAGATGACCTTGTGGTCCCTTCCAACCCTAATTTTCTATGATTCTGTGAACTGGGAAACAGCATGCTCAAGGCAGGTCCAATCGGGAAGGACTTCATCTCCATCAGAAGGCTAGTGAACACTGTAACCACATATCCAGTGTGTCATAGACCCAGTAGCTACCTTAAGGGTTCTTTTTTAAAACTGTTTGTGTGTTTTTAGGCACATGTTCAATCACTTGAGAAGTGGGTCTGTGGCTAAGAGGATGTTGCTGTGCTCTGGAAGCGTGGAGGAGAAAAGCTTACTTGTTCTTTTTCCAAGGGAGGCACCTTTCCCAGACCCTTTTCATGTTCTCCTCTGTTCTTCTAGTTAAAGCTGCAGGGGATGATTACTACACTTTTTACCTGCATTTCAGCACCACACTGGGTTGTTCTGTGATGCCAAATACTCCAGTGTTCTCCACACCGGGTTGGCTACGTCTAACGGGTTAGAAATAGTTTTTTGTCTGGGTAGGGGGGCAGTAGGCCTCAGACTTTATCAAAGACCTCTGAGTGGCTGAGATGGCTCCCTCTTTCCCCCTGTGCACACACCAGCACACATGCTCCCCTGCAGCCCCTCCCCTGACTGGAAGAGGGGAGTTGAAATAGTCAGCTCCTGCTTTGTGCAGAAAGTTTTCTTTCACTCCCTGCTCAGAGCTGCCTTTGAGAGGAGGACTGATGTGGCTTTGTTAGCACTGAGCTAAGGAGCTGATTTGGATGATCATGAGGCTGCCTTCAGTCATTTTACTCTGCACCGTTGTGGCAGGAGCTTCAGGGAGTAAGTAGAAGAAAATGTTTCCTCTGCTAGAACTGCAGCTTGCTCTCAAATGTAAAATGTTTGTGCCCAGCAATGATCTCGCTCACAAAGCATCTGAGATATTGTAAATTATGTTAAGACTTGTAGTTCTGCAGAAATCCTTCTTGTAGCAGCTTTGTCTTGACTTTCAGAGAAGTAGTTTGCTGTACTGGGCTGCCTAGGTGACAGTTTTGCAGGTGAGAGGGGATCCTGCATGTTAAACAGCACAGTAAATACTGTATCTTCCTTCAGCAAAGGTTGGGAAGGGAATGGAAACCACAAGACTGCTTTAGGAGGTTCATTATGTCATTAGGGAGTAAGTGGAGACTGTAAAAACCTGCATGAGTGTGCTGGTTAAAAATTATGGTTGCTGCATAGCTGGAAAACAAAATATTGCTTTAGAAAGCAGGAAGTGTTTTTGTCTGAAAAGAAAGAAAAACAGAATGTCTTCCTAAAACCAAAACAAATAGTAAAAAAGATGAACAAATAAAATCCAGGTGTATAAATAACTAAATAAAATTGAAAAGAAACCTACACTGAAGGTTCCTTATCAAGCACCTAAACCAAGTGGCTGGATTTTCAAAAATGTTCAGCCCTCCTCAGTTCCTGTTACTCAGCTGCCTGTTAAGCACTTTTGAAAATCCAGCTGGACACATCATTTAGGTGTCCATGCAGAAGCTAAGTGTACAACTTAAACTCTGGCCGTAATTATAAGTGGTTCAAATTTCCATGAGGCCCTGTGTGTAAAAGTGAATTGCAGGAATTTTCTGTTTTATTACTTTCTGCACTCTTCAATAAATGAGTGCTGATTGCTGCACTTAAAGGTTATTATCTTGCTATTAGCTTCCTCCCTTTGGAGAAGGTAGGGAAAGGACCCAATTTTATTTTCTGAATCATTTCCATTTCTGCACTTGCTTGCTAGATTTGTAGGGCTGAAATGCTTTTTTTCTTTTGCATACATTTGTTTTCCAAAGGCTTATGAGGGAATTAACTAGAAGAGTTCTCTCTCTAGTAATGCCGTATAATTGGGATTTAGAAGTTTATACAAATACATAGATAAGATGTTGTAGTCTGGTGTTATTACTAGTCAATTACATAAACAAATCAGCAAACTGCTATTTTTCTTGATTTCCAGTTACCAGCTGCAGGAAGAAATAATTTGATTAAATACAACAACACAGTCCTGTGCATTCTATTTTCAGTTCCTGTATGTGCTTTCATAAAGGACAAAGAAATAAATGTATTTGGTAGGAAAAGAGAAAAATGGTGTAAATATACTATGGCAAATGTAATTTGACTCTCTCCAGCTTTAACTCCATTTCAAGAATGAAAAAAGTACATAATGGATACTGGAGGGGAAAAAGTGCTCTGCTTATTTTTGTTGCAAGAGCAATTAATTTTTCTTCCCATGTTTTTAAAGTGCAAAAGAAACAGTGAGTTAAATTCTTTTGTGTCATTCAAGTAATCTGAACGGGGGATTTTAAATGCCTTGGTTTGACAAAAGCATTTTTTTTTTAAGGCAGATGGCACATAATATATCCAAAGGCAAAAAACCCAGCAAGTAAAGGGGTATTGTTAATGTCTGTCTCTTGTGGGAATAATTGACCCAAGAAGCTCTGAGATTCTTGCTTATAACTGGAGGCTATATTTTATTAGCATGGAGTTTGTAGAAGCAGTATAAACATCTCTGTTCTTCATACCAAAGCATTTTTCCCTTGGGCACCTCTCCCTCGGTTGTCCCTATCTGTGGTACCAACAGTACCACTGATCTTCATACCAATTGTGTTGTATCATATCTACAGTGACGTTCAGTTTTTGTAACTTTATGCATGTTCCCATTGAAAACCAAGGAAGTTTTGTGCATCAGAAATGTAGGATCAGGCTATTGGCAGGGTTAGCTTCTAATATGCATCTGGAATCTATGGGGGTTTTACTTCCTGGATTTTTTCCTGGTACAGCCCTGTCTACATGACACTGGCTCTTTGACTGCCTGGTTTCTCTATTTGTACATGCAGTCTAGGGACAGACATTCAAAAAGCATGAGCCTGAATTGATACAATCTTTACAGGTTACTGTAGATTAAATCAGTTTGCAACTGCACATTCATTCTCTCTGGACTGAGGAAATTCAGGCACGTGCCTGCACTGGCTCAGGCTAGAAGGCGGCGGGCACTAGAGCAGCCTTCCCTTCCCTTGTTTAGTGCTGAGCTGAGGGGCAGGGGAGGCACGGCCAGGCCCCAGCAGGGCCTCTGATTAGTTCAAACTCTTCTTAAACAGCTTACTAGCTGACTTGTTGATTAGCTACAAACAGCCCTAAGCAGTCACTGTTTTGTCTGCCTGTCCCAGTAAAATTGGAGATACACACAGACACCTCTCAGCGTCAGCTAGCATGCTACATGGGGCTGTGGGAGATGGGAGGGAGGGAAAGGGAGATTTTCTGCTTGAGCAGCAGGGCGTGGGTAGGGCAGGGGGCAAGTCAGGCAGACCCTGCTGTGCCTGCAGGTTTGCCAGAGCTCTGGCCAGGGAGCAGAGGGGAGGAGCCAGCCCTTCTGTGGAGCAGAGAGCTGCGCCCAGCCCAGAGAGCATGCTGGGATGCTGGGGGACTCTGGTTTAAGCTAAACCAAGAAGGGTTCTGGGACAGACATTGAATAAACTGGTTGGAGCTAAATCAGTTAAATCTGATACTACATTCAACCAGGTTTATCTCAAACCAGTTTCAACCACTTTCTAACTGGTTTATGCACACTGAACATCTGTTCTGTTACAGGTTTAAACCAGTTTCTGATCACTTAAACTGGTTTATGTGTAATGTCTGTCCCTAGCCACAGTTGCAGTAACTGTGCAAGTTACATCAATTACTCTCTCTCTGCCTTGGTCCCCCTTGGGCCCAGGATTGTTTCTGCTGGCTTGGAAATCCAGGGATTTGTCCAGCTGTGTTGTATCCTAGTAGTTCCAATGGAAATTGTACATACTCAGATCAAAGAGAATAGATTGACTATTTATGTAGAATGGGCTAAATTATCATTTAATTTATACTGGTGGAAATTTGAAGAGAATGCTCTTTCACCATTGGATTTACCCTGGTGTCTCTAGGACTTTGCTACTCTTTTATGCAGGAGAACAGAGTGTTCTGGGCTTTTGGGGTGGCTAAAAAACCAGCATTGGTGTGATGTGATGTGATGTGATGTGATGGCTAGAGTTTGTTCAATGATTTGCTGGTGCTGAAAAATATCACCTGCAGAATTGAAGCCTGCTCCTGTTCCTGTTTCAGGTGACAGAAGCAATATCCTTCATTTAGGATAACTGCATCTGAGTGTAGACAAGAGTGGCAGAATTAGTCCCTTACTCTTCGCATAAGAAAGGAAAGAAATTAAGTGGTGTTAAATGTTCATGCTAACCTGAGTAGATGCACAAAAGATGCCGTGTATTACAGGAGCCTCCAAAATGTGCTCAGGGCAGTACGAGCTGACAATGAAATTGTAGTCCCACTGTACTGTGTTGCAGAACTCCCACTACCTTGCTGGTGCCAGGATTGCAGCTGTGATTCCTGTGCTGAACTGTGTACAAGTGGCTGAAGTAATAAAACAGATAGGGACAACTGAGGGGAAGGAGCTCAAGGGGAAGATGGCACTTCCTTGGGTCTGAACTCAGAGCGCTAGTGGCATTTGGACTCTGTGTTATCTCAGAATTTTGGGTGTTGTGGAACATGCTGCCCCTCCGAGCCCTGTGTGCACAGTTTAGCCTTCCCTCTGGCAGCTACTGAGCTTGGTTTCATGAAAGAATAATATTAAGAAGGGTTCAAAGAGAGACCACTCTAAAGGTGAAGCTACATGCTAGATGATACAAATGGCACTTTAAGAGTGCATGTCTTCATGCTAAAGCTTGTTGATTCATGCTGGGTGCCCTCCGGGTCTCTCAAAGTTATGCCACTTCAGGCAAGGGCTAACTCTGACCTGGGCTAACTAGTTTATACGAGGGTAACTTTAGTCTGGTCCACAGAGGTAAAACAAGCAATCTACAATCCTCCAGCATTCCAAGGTCTCCCCTGCCACAATAGAGCCCGTGTCCTGGCTCCTAGCTATGCCCCTGCTTTCCAGTTAACGGTCTTAATCCTTAATGTGAGACTGCTCACAACATGTTCTAACTTTAACATCACTTAACCTTCTACAGATTTACTATGGTTTAAATGTAATGTGCTACTTCACCCTTAGAAACCTAGCATGCCTACAGACGTTTAGGGCCCTGCTCTAACTCATGGTGCTTTACACAAAGTGCCATTAGTTAGAGCTCTCCTCCCTCCCCCACAACCCAAGAAATGTTCACCTGTTGGGTCAGGAGAAGGGGGCTTGAGCCAGCCTACACCAGCCCTGGCCAGCAGGCAGAGGCACTCCAGCAGCCTCCAAGAAGGCTACCGAACTCCTCCTCCCCCCTATCTCCCCCCACCCAGCTCTAGGACTGTCAGTGGGGGATGGAAGGGAAAGGAGAGGGAGCAGCAGGCAGCTGCTGCCTGGGTTTGACCTGGCTTGGGGGGGGGGTGCGGGATGGAATGGAGCCCCCCCACCTGGCAGACACCCCCCCCCCCCCCCAGCTATCCTGGCTGAGGCATTGGGGGGAGCTGGGTTGGATCTGTCAGATGACGGGGGGTCCCTTCCCCCATACCCTACCCAGGCCTCTTGACTGCGGGGGGGAGCAGGATTGAATGGAGCCCCCTTGCCTCATGAGCCTGCCCCAGTTTCCCCCAATATCCCAGCCAGACTAGTTGTGGCAGGGGAGGGACATGAGGTGAGGGGGCTCTGCTCCACCCTGTCCCCACTCTAGATCTGGCCAAGCCAAGCCCAGCTGGCAGCTGCCTACTGCTCCTTCCCCTCCCCCTCCCATCCCCACTGAGGAGCCCCAAGGGCAGGGCAGGGCTGGGCTGGTACAAGCAGCATCCCAGCTGCACAAAACACAAAAAATGAACCCTGGAGGGGAATACAAATTCCCTAAGGCACTCTGCTTTGGAGTGCCTTTGTCCAATATCTGATTTGATGAGGGTTAACTTTTTTTGCAATTGGTTATTTTAAATACACTCTGCAGCCATGTACATGTGTTATGTTATGACTGGGGAGCACTTTCAGGAGCCCAACTGCATGAAAAAATGTAATTTATGTAAGCACTCCTAGTTAACTATCATTGCTGAAGCTGCTTTGATAAATCACTCTCTCTCCCTGCCTTTGATTGTATTTATGTGCTATTTATCCCTTCACTAGATGTAGGACTTTACTTTTATTACTACCAGATATCTGCTCTTGGGCTCTCTGATGCATTAATCAAACATACTGGTTGTGTTGGTCAGTGTTTGCTAGCCTTCTAATTTGGACTCATTAGAAAATTTGATCGTAGCCCCTGCTAAAGCAAAGGCATGGGGTGAATATGGAAAAGAATCTAAAAATCAAATGCTTTATTCAGAGTGGATTAATTTATTTAGGTATGTCTAAAGTGGGCCACAAGTGAAGTTATAAAGGGCATGTGCTTTGTTCACTCTGTTGGACTTAAAAGCAGGTTTTTAAATTTAGTGCTTTAAGAATTCACACAACTCAGTTGTTTAATAGCAGAAATGCTTGCTTTAATAACTACCAACAACCTACACAACTAAATGACAGAAAAAAAAGACTTTCCCAATATACTATGAGCTATTACAGAAAGTCCTAATACATATTTAGCTGCAGCAGTATTTTCTCACTAATGCAGGCTGGAAAGCTGATCCGGTCTTGAATCTTTACAGAGCACAAGTCCTTCACTTTTGGGCTGGGTACAGGGTGGCTTCTTGATCTTTTCTGGACTGCACACCTTGCTGGCAGTTCTGTCTTGCTTTTTATACTGTTTTAATTGTATAGCTTCAAAGCATTTTTCCTTGATGGTTGGCCGATTTTAAGTCCTAGAGGAACAGGGAGGAAAAGAGTGACTGTCATATTACAATCGTTAAGTTGCCTGGTTCCTGTTTTTGGATTTGTCCAGGTGTGAAGACTTGTGTTTCTTGCAATTAAATGTTATGGGTCTTGAGTGGTCAAACATGATCCTTAGAGGCATTGGTTACCAGACCTGTTTTGGGGTATTTGTTTATCAATGGGGCAAATTTGCAATAGCTTGTACCAGCGATGGTCAATTTACAAAACTCCAGACCTAAAGTGAATGATTGAAACATTTGTAACACCTTAGGCATTGGATGCCTGTTTTGAGAAATATAAAGATATCATGTATGGGACATCTTTCCTGTCTTCAATACACCTTTTACAGGTTTTGCTTGAAATGTATATTTAGTCTTTTATTTTCTTTAGTTGCTACTTCAATTGAAATGTATATGTAATTTCCTTGCCTTCTCTAGTTACATTGTCTTTTTCTTTTGCTCTCTTACCCTGGAGATGCATGTGATGAGTGTGTCAGGTTTTTTGCTAACAATTTTCCTGTCAGAGGAGCCATCATTTTTATTATTTTATGGCATGGATCTGGTATCAGGTGCCTCAAGTGCAACTATCTCTACACCTTAATGGGTTGCAGCCATTGCAGAGACTTGGGGGGGGGGGGTTGTGGCAGTTTTGTCGCCACAACCCAGGCTTGCCCCAGCCACTGTTGCATTTTTGTGCAAGAGGCATTGTCCAAGCTTTTACAGCCAACATAACACATCTAATCAGAGTGATTAGTCTCATTCCAGCATTAGCTAGTTCAGCATAGCATTTGCCAGCCCAGCACCTGCAGAAACCCTCCAACATTGCTTGCAGTCCAAGGAAATTAAAAACTGAGATATGACAGGGAGAGCAGTCTCATGTTGTCCAAAACGCATTCCTTGCTTAGTGTTGTTGCTTGTGGGTCAGCAGAGGTTGGGAGCCAGGTTCAGTGTTCCCCTGGAAGATGGCACACTTTCTGTCTTCTGGATGCGGCATAGGAAACAGGTTAATCATTTGATGCATTTGGTCAGTATTGAGTGTGCATCTCCTCAAAAAAAATAGAAGAGGAAGGATGGAAAATCACAAAAGGATGGAATAACAGCCACAAATTGTTAGAGAGAAGGTTCAGGCAAGACATCAGGAGACATTATTCTACAGTTGGGGCTGCCAGGCTCTGGAATGGGCTTCCAAGGGAGGTGGTGCTCTCTTCTACCTTGCGGGTCTTCAAGAGGAGGCTGGACAGATATATGGCGGGGGTGATATTACCCTGGCACCTGTTTCTGCCCAGGGCAGGGGGTGGGACCTGATGATCTGTTTAGGTCCCTTCCAACTCTAAGTACTATGACACTAAAAGCACACTTGTACATAAGGGCAAGTGTGATGCTATATAAGGGGTTGGCAATGTTTTGGGGCAGAATGCCAAAAACGCCCATATCCTTGACTTGTAAGATGTTGGCATGCCAGGGACAGATGGTGGGGGAGCTGCGAGGGGCCCGATTCTTGATGTGGCAGTGCAGCCCCAGCCTCTTCCCCACTGTTCATCCAGAGGCTTGCATGTCAAGCAAAATGCCATTGCATGCCACACTCTGACACTTGTCCCTGTTTTTATGGTGAGCACCCATCCCTAATTGGGCAGAACAGTCCTGAAATGTAAATATCAAGTCCCAGTCCTGGGCTGAATGACTCTGGAATAGCATTTGTCATGAATTCCCCAGTCTCAACACAGTTCAATGGAAAGATGGCGACAGAGAGAGTGAGGGCTAAGCCTGGCTCTTGTAATGGCAGTGGCCAGGAGGATGCAGAGGCAGCAGTAACTGGGGCTGGGGCCAGTTGGGCACAGAGGGTGGCCCTTGGGGTGGGGGCTGTGGCACAACCTGCCCCTGTGGAGTTGGTTGGGGGCTCCCACTGCCCACCTCCCTGCCCCTATTGTTCTGTGTGTGCTCCGAAGGTGGTGTGGGGGCTGCAGACAACTCATTCCCTAGGGCTGGCAGCAGCACTGACAGCATGGGGGGGGGGGGGAATGCACTCCCCCATGTAGGCTTGGGGTGGGTGGTGGGGTTGCACCACAAACCCTCCCCTCTCCCTGCTTCCCCCCCCCACTGCCCAGCTACCAGTATCATGTGTCCCGCTTTTACATTTTGTAAAGGTGGTCACCATATCTGTTCTATACCTATAGAGATGGACTGATAGTATAGCCCTTGGTGTAGTCCTCCCTGAATGAGCTTCAGGGACATTCAGGTCTATATCACAGCTTTGTATCTGACTTGTATGAAGAACTCCTAAACCTTATACCTTAACTCACTGTGCAGATCTCCACTTTCCTGCTCTGGCCACTAGTGCCCATTGTAGTACAGCAAACTCAGTGCCAATGATTACAGAAGTTTACTTGAGGCTGCCAGATTCAGACAGGCACTTTGGTTCTTTCTGGTGTGCCAGAATAACTACAGAGGGCCTGCGTGGTGGTGGGAGGAAGGGTGGTGTTTGCATGCTGATTGTGAAATATCAAAGCAAAATGACTGTGTGTGTTCCCACATCCATGCTCCTGCCACCACATTTCCCCTAGTAAAGCTCTTGCTCTTTGTGTGTTGCTGCTTTCACATACCTCTTAGGTTTCCTGCAAATGAACAGCTATAGGATCAGTCACTGGAGCTGCACACAGGATTCTGAATGCCCTTCTACAATTACTTTTGATTTGTTGTTTCAGGATCCCAGGAGACTTTAGAGCAGGAAGCCTCCTGTATGACAGAGTGTGTTGGTGAGTAAGACAAGGTGGTATTCAGGGCTACGGCATAGTAGTGAAGGATAACTATGAAGTTTTCCCCCTCCATATTGGGCACTGCTTTATTAGAAGGGTGATATTAATATTTGCACTGGGATTTACTACTGCTAGGCTAGAAACACACAGGAGAACAGTGAGTAGCATTGATGAATGAGCCTTGCAGTGCCCTGAGTGGCCACAAGTGAAATTCAATGGAGTTGGATCAGTCACAGTAATTATCAGTGCAATATATGCAGAATGTCTCTTCTTCCAAGTCCCAGTCTTATCTTCACAGAAGCAAGCAAGGAGAAAGACCTAACTCTCTCCTGGCTGGTAGGCACAGGGCATGACTATTGCTGCTAGGGACACACTACAGCAGTGATTCTCAATCAGTGTCATGACACCCTGGAGTGCTTTGAGATACTTTCAAGGTTGCTATGGGTGCCATGCAATGTCAGCACTGTTAGGTGTGCAGACGCGATTCACAGAATGAATTCTGAGATTTTTAAATAGGAAGCCATGGTGTTAGAAACAGTCTAACCTGTTGTGGGCTTTCTGAGTTCTTGAAATAGAAGAATTGCCTGTTATTTCCTGTAGTCAAAAAAGAGTGAAAATCGAAAGCTGTCAGAATTTCCTAAGTACGACTTGAGTCTCCCAAGAGGTGCCTTGAGTCCAAAAAAGGTTGTGAACCACTGCTTTCCCTAGGGTATATGCCCTACTAAAGTCACGGTTTCACGATTTTTGTGGAAAACACAAAAACTGGCAAACTCCATGATCACTGTGAAAAGTGGCATTGGCAGCAATTTCTCTGGAAATCAACCAAAAAACCCCAAACGTACTAAAAATAAAATGCTGGCTCAGCAGCCAGCAGTCCTCACTCCTGCTGCAGCCTGGCCTCACAGCCTGCCCGGGAAGGGAAGCTGTCAGCTGGCGGAGCAGCACCGACAGCAGCCAAGATGTCAGCTGCCACCTTATGCCTCTCTGTCAATCAGTGCTGATGGGAAAGGCTACATCAAGGGCAGCCAGCAGTCAAGATGGCAGCTGCCCCCTCATTCCTCCTTCCCCCGGGAGGCTCTCTACCAATCAGTGCCAAGGTGTGAGATCACAGTGAAATGGCCACGAAATTGGCTCTTTCAGCCATGACCAAACTGCAAGAAGTGCTTTCTTTCACCACGAGTTATGTAGGCCTCTACATATAATTCATTGGCTCTGGGGTATGGTTAGTAACCTCAGCCTCACATTGGCAGCTGCTGCTTTAGTGTGTGCTGCTCCTTTTCTGAGTTACAGGAAGGGAAGACAGGAAGGCCTGTGCTCCCACAACTCCCCTTCCCTCTCACCTAAGCTGTAGGCTGCCCTAGCCGGTGTGACTGAGAAGCCCTTCGCTTACCCAGCTGCAACATGCCTAAGAACACTCTTATCTCAAAAAGGCTTGGAAGACTGTGCAGGCAGAGACAGTGGTATTAGAGGGCAGCTACACAGTGCAGAAAGTGTTGTGTCAGCTTTTGCAGGCAGAAGAGAGCATAGCAGCCAAACTTTCCACTTCTGCCTTAAAGTGGTCCCACTGCTAGAGATGGTGCTCAACTCTGATCTTTTAGAGGCTGCATGATTGTCACCCTTTGATATACCGTGGCCACCTGAAATTCTAGGACCAGCAGGGTTATAGTTCTGAACCTCCACCTGTTAAATCACAGGTCCCTATCACTTTGTTTCCTTTGACTGTAGCCATATAGAGCGATGACAAACACTTTAGCCCTTCGGACATCCTCTTCATTTGGGGGTGATGCTACCCAGACACAAGGCTAATCCTTACAATTAAGCAGCTGGTTTCAACAGCATACTTTGTAAGGGACTGTAGTGAAATGGGACTACTTTCCCTGTTTTGTGTTCAGTGAGAAATAACTGCACAAGCTGAAAGCCAATCCATACAAGTAGATTGTTATCTATAGCTAAGCTCTTTTATTATTTGAACTGCCTCATGGATCACATATCTGTGAAACAGTTTAGATGAAGTTTACAGCATAGAAACAGCTAATGCCGCCAAGAGGGAAGAAAGGGTTAACACTTGCACAGCTCAAAAACTCCTCCCCCAGTTTCGATTGCTTGTTTTCCCACTGTTTGTTTCCTGCCTTCTGAAAATGTAAGTAATGTGGCTATACATAAATCGTATCCATTGCCCTATAGGGTGAGATGTACTAAACAACATGGTGGAAAAACATGTAATAGCAGATATTACAAGATGCAACTTATTTTTTTAGGCTGGTTCCACTCAAAAGAATGCAGTGAATAGTTCAGGGCATAATATACCAACTCTGACTTCAGGTTTAAGTATAACTCCACACTGGACCACTGAAGATCTGGGAAATGATTTCCCACTCTACTATGCCACAAACATGATTTCAGAAGACTTCTGATTGATACGTGTATCAGAGGAATCTAGCCCCTTTCTGCTTGTCCTGTAAACCTGACAATGTCCTGTAAACCTAATCTCCATCAGTAAGAAAGGATAAAGTTGAATGTATGCCCTTAAATCCAAATATAATTCCTGACTTACCTTTTGGTGCCCCAGAGTGAGCCAAAAAGTCTCAGGGGGTGGTTCTGACTTAGAAATCGCTCAACAGTTCATTTGTCAGTGGAGACGCAGTTCACAGCACATGTACGAAATGAAAACTGTGAAGTCTTTGCTTTGGATTGTAGTCAACAAGAAGTGGTGGGGGACGGAGGCAAGGAGGATGCCATGCCTTCCAGCCCCTGCATACTTCTGCTGTTATTAGATTTTTACAGCCTCAGGAACTGTGGTGTTACAAAATTGTGGCTGGTCCCTGAAAATGTGCATAGGATGAGGGAGGGGAACTTCTCTTCCCTGTATCTTCCAGAAGGGATCCCCACAGCTGGGATGAGTGGGAACTGTTGGGTGCTTTCATGCTTTTGAAAACCTGGCTGCTCACTTTTTAGATGCCTTGAATGGCCCAAATCTACAAATGTCGCCTTAATTTTCTGAGACAATACAACAGTTCCTAAATGGCTTTCTGTGTGCTTGTTTCCTAGGACACAGCACCTTGCAATTCCCTAAAGGCTCCAGATATATCTATAGGTATTCTACAGCCACCAACACATTCCTACAGGGACCCATTTACAAAAGGAGTGGTGTTTCCCTTGAGAGCACAGTGATCCTTGAAGCACTAGGAAAGTGCCATATGGTCTTAGAAGTAAGTATTTTCATGAATTCTGCAAGTGCTTCAATGACTGGAATTAATTAGCACAGAGCACTGCTACTCTGTAGGGTGACTGCTGCATTTGAACCAGTGGAAATCTGCAATTAAAACAATAATGACAAAACACTGTGACTGATTATGAGCACTGCAGAATTGCTTGGATGTTTCACTGCTTCTAATTAAACAATAAGAAGCTTTTTAGGGGCTGAATAATAGAAACCAGCTCCTTTCCTGAGTGAAATGACCATTTTGCTTGTTGACTATATGAAGTGCAGAACTGGAGATGAAGGCAACCCCCTTTAAAAGGGCTAGGTGATTTTATTTTTTTTTAAAATCATTTTCATATCTGCAACAGTAATTTGAACATAGCAGCAGTGTTTTTGTTTTAAAGAGACCTTTAGAAGTTTCTGTGAGTTGTTTGACGTAAGCCTTTCGTTCCAGTTTAGAATCCAGGGGTTTCCTAATGCTGCTATTGAACTTGATGGGTAAAGGAGACCAGAGACTTGAATTTCATAGTTTATCCTGAGGTGTGGCCTGCTGTAGGCCAAATTCAGTCTGAGTGCTATGAATAGGTGCCCGACAAGAGAAGTATGAAACAATAATCTATCCATACCTACCTGGGCTTCCTTTCATATTCATAGACTGGTTAATTCAGAGGCTTCCTGTAGCAAAGCCATGAAGAGGCTTACTGGCATGAGACTAGTTTAGGGGGGTGTAGTCCATGGTTTGAGGCGTGTATGCTTTCCCTTTGCTTAGGAAGACTGATAATGTTCCTGCTCAAATCATATCCTTTTCTTCTAACTGTGTTATCTAAGCACCTGGGAACTGGGTCCTAGTGGGCAAAACTTGGGGAGTTTGTGTGTGAAGAGGCTATTAGCTAGAAAAAGGAAGCATGAGTTGCTTTTTTGGTACGTAGATGTTTACTGACTCAGACCCCACAGAGGAACAATGCACAAAAAATGTGCTTCAAGAAGAGACTGCACCTCAACCAACAAATTACATGAAGGGCGAACTGGCTCCCCACCTTGTCACCCATCAGGAACTGCACCAAGGCTGTTTCCAAACTGACCCTGACCATGCTACCTGTGTAACGGTAATTGGCTAAAGCTTCCATGATCCCGTCTTGCCACTTGTGAGGGATAAAAGCTGGCAAGCTACAGGAGATACCGAAGCTTTCAAAATCACCCTACAGCACCAGCGGCCAGACTCAACACTTCACAGCTCTATATTGACATAAGGGGCCTCAGAACTATTTGGTTATTTGGCCTTATAACTATTTGCCTCTGTAGCAGTGTATTTTGTTTGAAGAACTGTGTCTAGCCAACTGTGTCTTTTTTTTTATCTCCAAAGCAGGATGTCCCTTTCTGTCTGAAAATAAAGTATAGCTTGTATAGAATGCTGTAGGGCCTGACCCTACAGCTTTTATTTACTTACACATCATACAAGCAGTCTCCAGAAATTAATGCTGGCAATGGTATTGCTGGCAATACCCTGTGATTCAGTATCTGTCTTGATTTGCAACAACTGTTAAAGCAAGGTAGCGCCCTGTGGTCAAACCTCCTTGGATGCTGACAAGAAAGGCCCACATTGCCAGCTTCCTTCCAGATTCCAGTCCGTAATCAGACAACTTCCCAGTGTCTGAGCAAATCAAGCCACAAGCCCTGAAGCAACTTCCCTTCCAAATTTGACCTTATGGTTGTTTTGAGAGGAGGTGGTTGAAATACCAGGGAAGTATCTGCTTTTTACTCAACTCAACAGTAAATACTGTAAGACGATTGTTCAACATGGTTTCTCACCTTCTGCAGCTTCTGCTTTTAACTGCAACACAAAACAGACAGACAATCTCCAAGGTGTGTAGTAATCTGTTATAACCTTAGTTAATGAGGTGAGGTCTTTGAGTTAAAGCTGAAGCAATTCATACTTTTTGGTCTAGAGGTACCTACTTCCTGGTACATCAGCCAAAATAGCTGTCAAACATGCTTTGCCTCTGTAGCAGTGTATTTTGTTTGAAGAACTGTGTCTAGCCAACTGTGTCTTTTTTTTTATCTCCAAAGCAGGATGTCCCTTTCTGTCTGAAAATAAAGTATAGCTTGTATAGAATGCTGTAGGGCCTGACCCTACAGCTTTTATTTACTTACGCATCATACAAGCAGTCTCCAGAAATTAATCATCCATATGTGAGTTGTCCCAAAGTCTTCAGTGAGCCTGTTTGTATCTTGTGTAGTGTTGACTTCCATGAGTAAAGGCTGCAGAATGAAGCCTCTGCTTAATGTTTTTTTATATGCCTATGTCCTTGTGTGAATTTAAGCTTCTTGGTCCCTGTTGACAATGGTATTTGCTGCACTGGTATTTTCTTTCCTAGATGCAAGATGTTCAGATAAAGAAGACACAGGCATCCAGGGAAGATCCACTGAAGGGAATAGATAGTTTAAGGTAAAATGATCCCTCATCTGGCTCAGTTCCAGGTGTTTTTGAAACTACATGGCTTTGCAGCAGCTTATTAACATTTCCCTGATGTTTCTTGCTTCACTTAATTTCCAGTTGAGAAAAAAGATCGGGGTCAGATCTCCCCTAGCAAAATCATTAAGAGCCATTTAGTTTAAAAAATCAGGTCTAGTTTTTAGGCCTCTCACGTAGAGACATACTTGCAATGGACAGTGAAAACGACAGTATGTGCAAATTGTCAGGTGCATTGCTGGTTTGTGCTTATGGCTGTGATGGCTACAGGAACAGACAAGATCCAGGGTCCTTGAGCTTTGAAAATGTGTCTCCAAAGTTTTAATCTTGGAGAAGATCAATATTTCTCACGATGCAAATTTGCTTTGTGTTCTTCCACAACATTTAAAGGGCATTTATTTTTCAAGTGTCAGCTTCTCCCTTTTATATTTTAGGAGCTCATTCATAACATGCTGTCACTCTGGCTAAGGTACAAACACTTGTGGGGGTGCCTGTACAATAAGGGCTTGACGAGCTTTGGAGGATTGGTATTTTCCCAGAGATCTAATGCTCCTTGTTTCACCAAGAAAAGCAGTTCTGTTGTCTGGTCTGGCTGAGCTTGGTAATCTCCCTGCATTGTCCTGCTGCTTGGATTCCCAGCCTTTAAACACTGAGATCTGTACCAGGCCCTCAACAAAGATAATTGGCTCAGTGCAGAGGGTCAGAAAGAGCAAGTTTTGAGCAATTTTTTTGTATTCATTAGGAAAACCTTTTGTTCCACAATACAAGCCCTGATATCAGAGTTCAAATAATTTGGGACACAGATGCATCTTCAAGGGGTTCTCTGTAGAGATAAGGGCAGTTATGTCCATTCTTCTGTGCAAGGAAGAAGAATGCAGAAGATGAAGTAAGTGAAGACAGCATTCACTGAAGTTTGGCTGCTCAGAATAATTATTCACACTGGCAAACCTTATTAGCATTTTCTTCAGCCTACTGCATATATGCTGGGGTCTAGCCTGCCTTCTATAGATGCCTGTAATTTCCACTGAAGCTAGTATGGGTCACAATGGCATATTGTTGGGAGAAACCCATACTCCATGCACATAGCCATTTACCTTCTATGAAGACTTTATCTGGGTGTTGTTCCATAAAAGACTTTTTCTCCTGAAGCAACATTTTGTCCTCAGTGATCAGATGAATAGGTCAGTTTGAAGGTAAGGAGCAAAGCAAATCTGTTGTCTACTGTAGAAGCAGACTGGTCACTGGACTACAGTAAATCCTCTTCCTTGGGGCATCCCTGTGCATGTTATTTCCTTTCCTATTCAGAGGAATTCCTGATAAACAAAAGACAATGTTTTAATACCACAGCTGCATTCAGTATTGCTATCCATGCTGGCAACACGGATGGATGCGTAATTTCAATAATGGTGGCCAGGTCTATGTAAATAGCAGAACAGATCTACAGTCCTGTGGGGAAGCAGCAATTGTTCTCTTTTCTGCATCTATTCCAGCTGGGGAAGGCTTGCAAACATTAGAGGAAACGACAAAGTCAGCATGCAGCTGAGTCGCAGACACTGTGGCCCAAGACCTACTACATCACAAGAAGATTCCCCATTAAATGGAGTTACTGTCTCCAATTAGCAAGAACCACTGCCATTAAACATAATAATTAGCCTTAAACGAATTCCCAGGGAGCTGTCCTGATTAAGTAGGCTCTAATTAAATAAAGCCTTCTGTGTTTTGTAGCCATTATCTTAATGGATGTTTTAAAGGGCTTGTAAGGAACAAGATCAACTTGTGACATAAAAAGGAGCAGTTATAAAGTGTGAGGTATGTTTTGGAGCCAGATAATCCCACTGGAAGGGAAACGCCAAGTAAAAAAATTTGAAGTCCATTAAGGTTCATAAATTCCTCTTGCAGCTCAAATCTAACCAAAGCAATTGTAACTTACCTAATTGCAGGGAACTACTAGAGCGGCATCCTCTTCACTTTTCTTTCCATGAGGGGAGAGTTTTAACAATCTCCCCACTGAGGAATGAACAGACCTGGGCACTGAACATCAAACGGGGCATTCTCAGTATCCTTCAGACCGCACGTGCACCCACTGCCGATGGAATCGTTGAAGAGGTGAGTGCTGCCGCACTCCAGGCTGGCTTTCAGCTGTCGTGGGTATCATGTCGATGTCCTTTTTAATGAGCAAAAGTTGTTGCCACTTGATGGCTGGTGAGCATCCACTGGTGGTCTCTTTCTTAGTGGACACATCAGAAAATTCACTCTTACTGGTATTTTTGTCAGAAGTCTAAGCACAGATGGCTTAACTACTACTTACCTACCCTAAAGAGTAGATCTTTCGTCTTGTGGTACAGAGCGGGGCACAGTAGTGTGAGGATGGGCATGTTATACCTGCTTAGTAGGGCTGTGCAAAGCTTTGGTCCCTGATTAGATTCAGCTTGATTCGGTGGCTGAATCTCTGAATCCGAATTGAATCAGGAGACCCTTTAATCTCTTCAAATCAATTCGGAGAGATTCAGAAAGATTCGGATATTCGGACAAAGACAGAGCTTTACATGTTTTTTCTACATACCTCAAGGCACCAGATGACTTGTGAATGCTACAGTGCTGGGGCGGATGGAACGTCCCACAGGAGTGCGGGGGGCTCCCCAGCGTGCTCAGCAGCAGACCCAGAAGTGGACCAGAAGCACTTGGGTCGACTTCCAGGCCACTTCTGGGTCTGCCAGAGAGTGCATCAGGCCCCCCCCCCCCACACCTCCTAGCTTGGCGACTGGTGCCTCCTGGGTCTGGGGGGGCACCTGGGGTCTCCCCGTGACCGATCACCAAGCTGGAGGGAGGCAGGGGGGGCCCCTTCACATGCTCCCCAGCAGACCCAGAAGTGGACTGGAAGTACTTCTGGTCCACTTTCAGGTTCACTGCTGAGCATGCAGGTCCTCCCTGCCATCCCCCCGCCGTGCTCCTGTGGGATGCTCCATCTGCCCCAGCATTGTAGTGTTCACGAGCCGTGCCTGGTACCTCAAGGTATGTAGAAAAAAGATTTAAAGCTGTATCTATGGCCAAATGGCTGATTCTCCGAACTGGCATTGAATCTTCAGATTCAGATTTGGCCCAATCAAATCACTGTCCCTGATTCCGGCTGAATCCAAATCGAATAGGGCCCATTTTGCACACCCCTACTGCTTAGGCTATACCTGTTCTGGGTGCAAAGTGACAGCTTTCCTTCCCAGGGGCTGATCCTGCAGCTATTAAAGTCAAGGAATTTTATAACTGATTTCAAGGGGTTACAACATTTGGCTTTTCAAGGCTTTCACTTGAACATCATCCAAACGCTACTTTCAAAGACCTTACTTTTAAAACCTAAGGTAAAATTCTGTTCTGGAATATTGTTTTAAGTCTGTTTTAAGTTATTGTTACCTACTAGAGTTGGTGGGTTTGTATGAGTCCAACAGAGCTCTCGTCATGTGGCCCTGCACAGAAATGCTGTCTGGAGAAGGACCGAGGTGTTAAAATAAGGGAATGACCCAGCATCTGCTTTTAAGCAAGTTATCTGGTCCAAAAATCTTTCAGATTACTATTAAATAAACCAACCAGCCCTGACTTTTGTAAAATGAAACGTTTCACCAAGGCATTTCAAATGACTGTACATGCCAGGCCAGAGCTCAAGCATTGCAAGGGAAAGAGCTCAAGCATTGCAAGGGAAAATTTAGGTCTTGTGCAAAGCCATGATTTTCAGTAGCGGTAATGATATGTAACTACTCTGTATTGTGTGCATGTGCATAAATATTATATCTGTCTAGTTATTGCATGTTTGTTACTAGGTGGACATTCTGGGAAAATGCCCAACCAAATATGAGCAAAAAGGCCCTATTCTTTTGAAGACAAGAGACTTAAACCTGTGTTCTCACCGGTATTCAGGTTTTACCTCCTTGCAGTCTATTGCTCTACCTGGTGCAGTGGTAAGTATGGAGAGCTGGTCCTACCATGAATCTTTCCTACTTGTATTTCTCTGTAGGTATTAAGAGCCAGGTCTGTTTCTACAGGACGGTGTTTCTGATAATCAAAATATTTCCATCAATTTAAATGAAAGCTGATTGAATGGTATCTTATGCCCAATTTCAACTCATATGTTTTCACCCATCTCTGAATCCTCAGGAATAAAGCCATGAACATGGTGTTTCATATATTATCAGATAGACACTGTGATCACATTCACATGAGGCAGGGGATGCATTTGCAGCAGTACAAATAGTAGCGGCATAAATTTGTGCCGCTACTTTGTGCTGCAGTGTGTGCCCCTGCCCATGTGCTTTGCAGCAGGACATATTGTCCCATTGCTGTATGTGCTTCAGGGGGGGCTGGCTGGGGTACATGGTGCCTCCATGTGGAGCTAGCCGGCAGGCAGCCCCACACAGAAGCACCCTGTGCCCCAGCCAGCTGGGAAGCAGTACTTGGAGATGGAGGAGCAGGCAGCCCTGGGTTGCCTGCTTACCTGTCTATGTTTATCCGAGCACACGTCCCTTTGGCATTCTTTGTGCAGCTTTTTTCTTTGGGGTTTGTGGGGGGGGGGTTGCTACTGGGAAATCCCAATAATAAATTTTGCCCCTGCGCTGCAAATTAGCAGCACCATGCATGGTTTAATGTGCAACATGTATGGTTTGTGGTGCCACAAACTGCACGTGCCTGCGTGTCCGGATCTGGTTTATGGGTACATTCCGATAAGCATCCACGTGTGGTTTGCAGTGCTGCAAACTGCATCTGCTGCACATGCATACATTTGCTGTGCTGCTAAATTGCAGTGCAGAGGGTTTTTCTGACACCCCAAGATCTTGGTGTCAAAAACATGCAAAAAAACCCATGGTGCGGCACACATAGCTGCAGCATGCACTGCCTGAAACCAGAGCATGGCTGGCCACATCCACTCTCAGGCTGCTGGCCAGGTTCCACGTGCCTGGACTGCCACCACTGCAGCCCCAGGAGGCCCCCAGAGCCCCAGATAATGCTGCCCAATCCCACCCGGGGCAATATGCCTTATGCCAGAGCAGCATACAGGGGTGTGCCCCAGGACAACTAGCAGTGGAACAAATATGTGTCACAGCTGTTTGTCTCTGGGGAAACACATTTCCAGTCATGGGGACACACCCTGTGTCTTCTTGTTTTGTTTGTTTTGGGATTTGTTTTGTGTGCTATGGGCATGATAAAAGAAATACAGCATGTTCCATATGTGCATGCAGCTTTAACTCTGCCTTGGTAAGAGTATGCATTACATTAAAGTAATTAATGCCTTGTTCTCTACTGACTATATTACCACGATCTGTTCATCATCTAATGTGCAGGCAAGATGGTTCATAGTCAACTTTTCAATTAATCTGGACTTTTTGGAGGACCTATCCTCACTGTTTGCAGGTAGTAGAAGAGGCAGCTGTTCAGTGCTTCTTTCATCCTCACTATTCAGAGTGAGGTCCCATGTATTATACATGACATGCCATTCAACCCATGCAGTGAATGCAACAGAGTCTTTTGGACTCCTGCCTCCTTGACTACTTATCTCTGCTTTTTTTGCTACATCCTATTCTGAAATGACTGACAAGAGCCCTTTGGAATGGAAATATTTAAGCAACCTCTATAGCAGATAAGATCTAAACTGATGACTTCTCCATGTGTGTGAAAAGTCCTTTGCTAACAACGCACATTTATGTTCTGTGCCAACTCATTACTCATATGATTGGTAAATAAATAACAATATATGGAAGAACCTGATTGCTGGATTAATTTCCTTCCTAGAATACATAATAGATAAAGAATATTTGAAAGTAAAATATTTGACAATAACATTAAAAGTGAGGAAGCTAAGTATTGCTCTAAGTTACTAAAAGCTGTTTTGAAAATGTAACACATCACCGAGTATAATCAGTGTACATGCCACTTCTTTTTTAAAATACTAACAACAGAAATAAGTCAAACAACTTACTGTATCTGCTGGCTTTCAGATAACAGCTTTTTTTCCTATTCAGATCTCCACTCACAATAGACACCTGGTTAACGCTGGTGCATTAGACAATTAAATATAATGAGTCTGTTGCATAATGAGCTTGTGCATGTATTATTGCCACCCCCTGCAAATCGTGAAAGATCTAGCAGGGTGCAGAGCTGGTATCTCTGTTTCATAGAAAGAATTGTGTGGGTGGCCATTGGTCACACAGATTTTCTCTGAAGTGTTTTTTGTTTCTTTCAGTCCCAGCAGCAGCTCCTGTCTTCCAAATTGGAATGTGTTCAGAGCTTTAAGGAAGGAATCCTAGCAGAGGCCAAATGTACTGAGTCCAATCTCCTTACCCCTTTCTCTAGGAAGGGCAGTGGAGCAAAGACACAGACACAGTCTGTACTAAAACTACTTCAAGTAGAGGCAGAGACCTTGTACAAGAAAGGTATTAAATGATTTCCTGGAAAAGTTTTTAATCGCATTTCACCTGTCTGCTGTAAGAACTTGCATTGTGCCACCACTTTCCTTTTACATGTGACTCTGTGGAAAAGGAAACTGTTGCATTGTGGGCTGCTCTCTGCTGCCTACTGTGGGACACAAGGCCCTACGTGCTTCATACCTGCAGGAGGGGTTGAATCTGAAGTGTGGATAAGGCAGGTATCTACCGGAGAGATTCTTTGCATCTGACTTCCTGCATAGCCAAACTCTACTCCAGGTCTTTCAAAGCCCTTGACTTTCAGAATTGACTCAATCACCTTCCAAATGCATATATTCCTTCTGCAGTGGCTGAGTGCTACTCCTTCCATTATTAATGTGCGGTTCCTAATATAAAGCAAGTCCCAGTGGGACTCAAAGGAGTGTGCATTGTAAAGTTTCTATTTCCTTCTTACTCACTCATCTCTGAGTGTACCTGAACTATAGCAGAATAAATTTGCTGAAGCCTTTGGGAGCTTTTCCTGAGTGAAGACTGACAGTCAAGATCAAAATATTGAAAACCATTTAATTTAACTACGCACACTTCCAAGCAAAGTGTTATTTTTGTTTCTAAAAACATCTTAAGTTTCCCAGACTTTAGTTTGTTAATATCTATCCAGAGACAAAATGCCAAGGCCTTTACCCCTCAAATTTTAAAATTGAAGATTCCAATAACGTGTTTGTTTATACACTGAAAATTGCCACTAAATTTACTGGGACTTCAGGCCTGCACAGTCAGTCAGTAAATGGGTGTGATAGAACAAGGAGTGATGAAAGTAGGTTGATAAGGCTGTGGTCATGAGAGAGAAACTATTGAAAAAACATGTGATTTGTGTGTGTGTTGAAAAATCATCTGACTTTTTATTTTCCTGTTCCTATATATCTTATTTGGTTCATCTTCCAGGATACATGCCTTTTTCATCCCTGATTCAGCAATGTACTTTAACACAGGCCTCACTATAATGCATGTGACCACATCTCTTGACCCTCAAGGAGGACAGTCATGCTCAATTTAGGCATATATTTTGGACCCTTGCTGACCTGACATCCATCAGGGTAGTCCTTCCCATTATTTGGTTTCAGTCATAGGAAATGATGCATAGTTTCTTTTTTCCTCTGTTTTCAGTGGACTGCAAGGATCTCTATGTGAGTGGTATCCTATATGAAAAGGAAGAAACTGAGAGGCAATCTACAGAAAAAGATGTGGCTGAAATAGTGCGAAAGCTCTGCTTGGCACATAGCATGAGTTTTGAGGTATCCTGTTTTCAGATAAAATCTGTCCCATGTTTTCTAGTTAAATAAGTAACCACTCAGTACCATGATGTATACCTCCAGGATATCACCTATGCTTTTCACTTTGTTTTAGTGTAATTCCACAGTATCAAAGCCCCAGTAGGAAAAATGGACACAGACCCAGGATTCAGGACACCTAGAATTTTCTTGTTTATTATAGTATACCCCAAGAGGCCTTACTCGAGATCAGAGTCCTGGTGTGTTAAAGGCTGTACAAACATAGAGGAGAAACTTTAGCAGATTAGTCCAAGTTGAAATCAGAAATAAGTATATAGTAAACAAGAGGAAGAAAAAAGAAACAGATGAGGGCAACAAGATTACATGGATTCATAAACCTATTATATGACTTGATGGTTCCAAATAATTTGAAACCATTTTTTAAATATGAAAACAGCCACTTTAAACTGAGACTAGTCATTGTTAACTGGCTAACTTCCTACAAAGTTCCCTTCCTGCCTCTGCCACAGACCTCCTTTGTACATTGAGGCAAGTCATTCGAGCTCTCTGCTTCTGAGTTCCTCATCTGTAAACCACAATGTAGTTGCATTTCGGCCATAGACACAGCTTTAAATGTTTTTTCTACATATCTTGAGGTACCTGGTGGGGCGGATGCAGCATCCCACAGGAGCGTGGGGGGTCCCCCGGCGTGCTTGGCAGCGAAAACGGAAGTGGACTGGAAGTACTTCCGGTCCACTTCCGGGTTCACTGCTGAGCACACAGCCCCCCCACCTCTGGCTCAGCAATTGGCTGCAAGGGGACCCTGGGTGCCCCCGCAGACCCTGGAGGCACCGGTTGCTAAGCCAGGGGGTATGGGGGGCCCCCCGTGCACTCTCCAGTGGACCCAGAAGTGCTTCTGGTCCACTGTCAGTTCTGCTGCTGAGCATGCTGGGGACCCCCCGCCACGCCCCTGTGGGGCGCTCCATCTGCCCCACCACTGCAGCGTTCATGAGTCTCCTGCTACCTTGAGGAATGTAGAAAAAACATTTAAAACTGTGTCTATGTCTGAATCGCCAAATCTCTCATCGATTCGGAGGCTTCCAATTTGATTTGGAGAGATTAATGGGTCTCCTGATTTTGATTCAGATTCAGAGATTTAGCCACCAAATCGGCCCAAATGTTTGCCGAATTGAATCAGGGACCGAAGCTTCGCACAGCCTTAGTAACGAGTGGTAGCAGCATATATTGAAGGGTCCAGTCCTTGGAGTCAGACCCTTATATATGTAAAGCTGAGAAAAATTCTTTGGCAAATAATAAGTTCACAGAAAAACCCAGTATGGGCTGAGAGAAACAGGGCAAATATTGGAAGATGTTAAAACATTTCATGTTAATACTTTTCAAGTGAAACTTTTTATTTCAGAAAAGTTTAATTTAAACTTTTTAGGGTTTTTTAATGGTATTTTCATTTAGAAAGTGAGAAGTGAAGGGGAGAAACTGAAGGATTCAAAAGGGTAAAATAAACCATGTGTGAAACACAGCATTTAATTTTGTGTTGATGTGAGACAAAACTTGTTCATTTTTTCCTCCCAGTTTGACCAGTCAACCAAAATCCATATTTGCACAGTCATTGTTGTGTCCAGGGTATTTACAACACAGAGCTTGCAGTTTCTAATCACCTGGGTTTAATAATATGGACCCTTTCTCATTTTTAATCACCCTAGCTTTTGGCTACTATAATATAAATTAAGTACTTCTCTGACTAGCACAGGTCGGATTAGATTTTGGCTCCATCGGCCCAGTTTTGTAAGGCATGGATCTCAACAGGAGCACTAGGGGTGTTTAATAGGGCTGTGTGAGGCTTTGGACGGGGCTTCGGATCTGGAGAAGCTTCGGACACTTTGGGGTCCGAAGCAGCACATCCAGGTCGAAGTGCTGGCCTCATTAGGCTTCCCGAAACAGTTTGGAGCTCCCGAAGAGCTTCGGAGCCGCCTTGGAGATCCAGCCATAGGGTATAATGGGGAAACAATAAAATATCTATAACTTTGTTGTTTTTTGTCTGATTTAGATGAAATTTTCAGGGGTGGTAGACTCTGCAGAGAGGATGAAGTCTGTCAGGTTTCAAGAAGATTGATGTAGGGGTTTGGGGGGAACTGCCCCTCAAGCTGCAGACAAGCAAAACTCATGCCATGGGTGCTTGTGGGACTGTCTCTGGCTTGGGCATGGAGGCGAGACACTGTTGCAGGCCTGGCTGCTAAGCTGCTATGTTACCAGTTACCAATCAATCATGATTCACTCAGGGACCAGGGACTTGGGGACCAGCTCAAAACACAGGACCTAGCTACTACATATTGACTTAACGAGCATCAATTAGCACCTACAAAAGCAGGCTAATGAGAGGAAAGAATCAGTACAGACAATCAACTTCCCCAAGACAGAGACAGTCTTGGCAGGAGTTTTGCCTGTCAGCAGCTAGGGGTGCAGGGCCCCAGGGCCCCCCTGCACTGATCTCCTCGACAGCTGGCAGGCATCATGGCCTCAGCAGGGGCCACCATCCCTGCAGCCAACACCCCGCTGCGCCTTAACACATGCAGTGTCACCCGTGGCATGAGTTTTGCTTGTCTGC